AAGAGGAATGGCTGTGTTTATTGTTTAATGTTATATGGCCCCGGTTATGTACAGTATATATGTGACTGTACGAAATGAAAATGGAAAAATAAAAAATGCATTTAACAAGAACCATCAAGCACAGTGGTAGTGAAGTGATGGTTTCAGCTTGTTGAACTGAAACAACGTTGTAAACAAGAGTGGACCAAAATTCCTCCACAACTAAGTGAAAGACTGAGAAAGTCATATAGAAAACGATTACGGTCCAAGTTATTGCTGCAAGCTGTTGAACCCTGAAGTGTAGTTTTCACACATGGCTTCTCCATTTTTGCTTTCTTTTTGTAAAATAAATGATGACATGGTGTAATATGCCATGTGTGGTTGTTCATCTGAGCTTGCATTACCTACTCTTAAGAACTAGAAAACTAGATGATTTTTACTATGTCCTGATATGTAACACCATAAAACTTTGTCAAAGAGGGTGTACTTTCTTTTTCACATGTAAGTATCTGAGTACTTAGAAAAACAGAGTTATGTTAAGCTTCAAAATTATTTTATCCCAATGCTCAGTAGTTATTGCCTTCTCATCCCACAATGAGCATGAATGTCATATTCATAGAAAAGATGAGATGGGAATGCCTTGTATTTGCCAAAACAAATTTTGGAAATGCTCATAAAAGGAACGTGAGAAGAATGCTTACTATAATGTGAATAGCAAAAGGATTGGGGGGCTCTGCTCTTCAAGGAAAATAAAAACATGAAGAATTGTATTTCTTTACAAGATAAAGAAATTATGTAATAGTTTTTAATGTATAAATCAGTGGACTTTATAATTTATAATTCATACAAATAATACTTGTACAAAGTTAACAAATGGCAAATCTAACCTACTTTTGTTTATAGATATACTATCTACTTAGTTATTTCATATTTTTAAATCTCAAAACTCTTACCCTGTTCCTTCCTCATAAGATGATTGCCACCTCAGAGTAATTGAGTAAGGAACAACATCTGTGATGGAAAATTCACGAACTTTAAATGCTGGGGACAGAATTGCACACTAGAAAAGAAATGGAGTATCACTCAGACATGTGTCTGGTACATATTTATTTTATTTATGAGGTACTTATAACATTTTAACTTCACAATTATAAAACCTTAGAAAAATTGTTGTGGCAAAATCTATGATGTTGGAGATGACTAGTAACTTTTTTTCTGTGACCAGAAAAATTATACAAGAGATGTAACATTGCTCACAAACAGAGATCAGCTGTTTCAGAGAACAGATTCAGGATTAGTCAAAATGATTAATTTAAAAAATATATATATAATTTAATTTTTGTTAAATTGGTTAAATAGCTGTGTTACCTTCAACTCCTTAATGTAAAGATTAATGTAATTATAGCATGCTTCTTTTGATAAATTTGCAAGACCAAGAAATTTAAGTAGTTATACTGAAAAGAAAACCAGTTAACACACCTGTAATGCACAACCCCTTGCAACAGCTTCATCTGCATTTAATGTGGTACTTATCTCTTTACAGAAAAAATTGCAAATCTCTTCCTTCACAGCTGGAATACGAGTTGCTCCACCTACTATTTCTACACTGTAAATATCTTCACGCTGTAGTTCTAGGAGACAAATGAGATAATTTGTTTTTATGGATGCAAAATATCATCAATTTTAGAGGGAATGGGTTCATTTGGTGGAAAGACTGCAAGAATGGAAGCAGTTTCTCTATCATACATTGGCATGTCTCTTCTGTTAACATTAAAAACTACTGAATACTTGTGGAAATTCTATTTCAAAAATATACTTACCATTCTTATAGGTAATAGGACTCTAAGAATTAGATAAGCATGCCAAAATAATAATGAGAAATTAATGCCACATATAACATAGGAAGCTATCTGCTAGGTTCCAGAGCCTAGCAGAAGTGAATACATAATGAAAATAGATAATAAAAATAAATATGGTATAGTGTACGGTACTAAATTGGCAGTGAGGAGTAACATCTGGCAAAAGGTCGTTTGATCTGTTCAGTTTTATTAAAAAAGACAAAAAGGCCCCAAATATGATATATGCCTTTCTTGGCTCTCTAAAGAGACAACTGTAAAGTAAGCAGACATATTGGATAATTTTTCTTTAATATTAACTTTTGTTTTTCAGCTACATCCTAGGTTATTAGGATTTCTGCTGTTCTGATTGCAAATGTTCATGTTTCCGTAACCAAAACTGATATCCAGTAGAAGAAAAGTCTAAGGAAATTTATGAGAATCCCAACTTCTGAAGAAACGGGCATATTTTAACAAAAATAAAGCAATTTCAGGACAAGGTCTCAAAACAGTTCTATAAAAGAAAAATGTGTTCAAGGACCATGAAGTGCTCAGACTAGAACTAGAATCCTAAAAAAGAAGCATTTCAAACCACAAGATTTTAATGCAAACTTCATTTGTTTTGCTCTACTCTGATTTTTACTTCTATTATGATTATTATTGGAATAGAAAAAAAATGAAAACATTTATGATAAAATGCTTGTCTTCATCCAGATTGGCTATACTTAAACCATTATCTGTGGAAATAAGAACCATCAGAATCTTAAATGAGCTTTGGGACCATCAGGAGAATGGATACACAGATGTCCTATACTGAACTTATACAGTATAACCAGAAACACTGTGCTCTGCAGGTGCATGGTACAATATTTTAAAGTGATGGTCAAATAATGAGAACTACCATTTAACAAATGAACTATAGCAAACTAGTGATTATTGACAAGTATAAAATATAAGGTAAATTTTCTCTCTCCCCCCCCCCTTTAGTTTTGATTATTTTCATCTTTTACTGTACACTTGTGCCGGCTACTTGACTATACTATCCTAATCTCTACAAAGTCTATGAATCCCAAGGACCTATTACTTAATTTCTTGAGACTCATGATTTTGGTTGCTTATTCAGTGTTAGATCTGAATCTGTATATGTACAGTCTAGCTCTTCTTTCCCAATCTTCTACCAAATTTTCCTTCCAGCACATTTTATTTTCTTTCCAAACCAACAGAGTATTCAAATACAATTAGGACTCTGTCTGTCTGCCTGTCCATTAGCATGATGATAGTCTAAAAACTAAGTAGGATTGGATCAAATTTGATGTGAAGAACTAAACAAAAGAAAGATCAAGTTCAAAAATAGACTGGCTCAGACCAGAAACTAGAGCATAAAAAAAAATCCAAAAAATTTCCTCAAATGCATTCCTTAGGGAAGAGGCAATTTGGCAGCTGCTCAGCATATTACCAACTCCTGCAATCTTAGAACCTTTCCTTCCTCTTTGTCACATGACAGAGCAAAACTATTAGGGGATTAAAAAAAATCTAGAAGCCATACTTTGCATGTTTTTCTTCTCTTATTTGGTTTCTAATCTATTATATTGGATGCCATTTTTCTATCTCGATCAGGGGTGTCAACCTCAATTTCACTGAGGGCTACATCAGGGCTGTGGTTGACGGGCCGGGTGGGTATGGATAACTGGGTGGGTGTGGCCAGCTTGACTCCATTCACTGGGCGTGGCTGACTGGGTAGGCATGGCCAGCTTGATGCCACACCCCAAACTGCTGGCATGTTTCCTCTTCGCACTGGGTAGATCGGGCTGAAGCCACACTGCCTGATATTTCCTCTTTGCATTGGGTAGACCGGGCTGAGGCAATGTGGGCTGGCCCCTTACATTTTCCAGGCCCACGGGCCTTGTGTTTGACACCCCTGATCTAGATAATTTTTTTTTCTTCCCTCATCTTATTAGCATCTTTTCTTTTTTTATTATTATTAACGGTTTTTTATTTTTTATTTTCAAAACAAACACAACACATAAAACCTTCCTTTTTTACATACTGTAGAAAGTGTATCAGTTGGTTA